CCCCCCCCCTCACCTTTCTTGTCCATCAGCCACATGAAGATGAAGCAGGGCAGGAAGCCGATGGGGCCCCACAGCACCAGCAGCGTGATGTCCAGGGTGCTGAAACCTAGGGCCTGCTTGGCCGAGTTCTGGATGGGGCCCCACGAGTTCCACAGGAGGCCCTGCACGAATCCGAGCAGCGAGAAGGCGGCCAGGATCAGCCAACGGCGCCGGTACAGCCGGCTGCCGACCGGAGCCGGGCCCAGCAGCGGCTGGCCCTCTTCGTGCTGGGCGCCCCACATCTCTTAGCCTCCCCCCAGCACCCGAGGCCCCCGGTTAGCTGACCGTTTGCAGCCGGAGTATGTCCGCCCCGTGCCCCTGTCCCAAATCAAAACAAGGAACCGGCACCGACTGATCACCCGCTGCTCCCTGCCCCAACCTCCGACGTCGTGACGTAATTCGTGCCCAGACTACGACGTCTGCACGTCATCCACACCCCGAGCCCGACGTCACGATGCAATCCGCGCTCAAACACGACGCAAATGGCGTCCTCAACACACGTGCCTCGCTCCCTGACGTCACCCACGCCCGATCTCTCATGTGATCGCCACACCTGCTAGGGGTGGGACGCCGCAGAACAATGCGCACGCGCGCTGCCCTCCTGCCACGCCCCTCTTACCGGAGACATGTGCACCTGTGGGCGGTCCCCAAGTGAGGACTCAGAGGCATGGGTTCAAATCCCAGCACCGGCGCTGGGCGTTTTAAATATTAACTCATTAAATTTGGCACCAATGTACAATCATAGGAGTGTTTGGGAACAGGATAAAGCAATGCCAATTTATGCCTAAAATGAAAAGGAATTTCTCTGTCACAGGATTGTAAGTCTTTATGGCTTGTTTGCCACAGACAGTGTGGGGACAAAGTCCTTGTGTACATATAAGGCTGAGGTAGATTCTTGATCTGTATATAAGGCTGAGATAGGTCCTGAGGAAGGTTCATTGGATGAGAAATGTTAACTCTGACTTTATTCTTCCCAGATGATTTTTATTTTTCTTTATTCATTCACGGGATGAGGGCATCGCTGACCAGGCAGCATTTATTAACCAGCCCTAATTGCCCAGACGGCAATTAAGAGTCAACCACATTGCTGTGGGTGTGGAGTCACATGTAGGCCAGACCAGGTGAGGATGGCAGTTTCCTTCCCTAAAGGACATTAGTGAACCAGATGGGTTTTTCCCGACAATCGACAATGGATTCATGGTCATCATTAGATTCTTAATTCCAGATATTTATTGAATTCAAATTCCACCATCTGCTGTGGTGGGATTCAAACCTGAGTCCCCAGAACATTATTTGGGTTTCTGGATTAACAGTCCAGCGATAATACCACTAGGCCATCGCCTCCCCCTCAAGACCTGCCAAGCTTTTCCAGCAACTTCCCTTTATCTTCCTGATTTACAGCATCTCCAGTTCTTTCGGTTTAGGTTCTTGATCAGTAAGCCAAGCAAGGATTATGGGGCAAGGACAGGAGAATGTCCAAATATCTAAAACTAGGGAGCGTGCATTTAATGTCAGAGTGGGAAATTTCAAAGGAAACGTGAGGGGCAAGTTTTTTACACCGAGAGTGGTAGGAGTCTGGAATGCCCTGCTAGTGTGGTGGTGGAGGAAGATACAATAGGGGTGTTAAAGGGGGCTATGGATAAGCACATGAATATGCAAGGAATGAAGGGATATGGACCCATGGTAGGCAGAAGGGATTAGAGATTTGGCACGACATCGTGGGCCAAAGGGCCTGTTCCTGTGCTGTATTGTTCTATGTTCTAATGGACATGAGGAATGTCAGATCAGCCATGATCTTGTTGAATAGCAGTGAAGGCCCAAGGGTCTGAGTGGCCTACTCCTGTTCATATTTCTTATGGTCTTACAGTACAACAAAAGGCCTTTGGCCATTGAGTCTGTACTGCAAAAAATACACTATTGTAGTCTTAACTGTTATGACACTACAACTGTTTATCCAAATATTTTATCAAGGTTGTGAGGTTACCTGCCTTGACTATCCTCCCAGGTAGCGCATTCCAAACCCTACCAGTAAAGCTGCCATAGTCCCACACTTCCATTAAGAGAGAGGACTGATGATTTTACCTGATGGTCAAAGTGCTTCAGGAAATGGGAGAGGCTGAGAAGGTGGGAACTTCATGGTAACCTCAGCTGGTGTGGGAATTAAATCCATGCTGCTGGTGTCATTCTATGCCACAAACGAGTTTTCCAGTCAACTGAGCTCATCCTCTGGGTTAAAAAAAACTTCCCTCAAATTCCCTTTAACCCGTTTGCATTTCACTTTGAAAGTATGAACCCTTATTATTGACTGTTCAACAAAGGGGAGCAATGCCTGTTATACTCATCTCTTTATGGGGTACATGGAACATTCCTTGTTCCAATCTTGCTGAGGTCCCTCGCCACAAATCTTTCTTTGGTATCTCAATAATGTTATCGGTGCTGCTTCCTTCTCTTGTATGCAATTAGAAAAATTATTAATTTTGCTTCCAATTTGCACCCCATTCTCACCTTCACCTGTTCCATCTCTGACTATGCATTTCTTTTCATCAACTTCTCTGATTTCATATCTAGGAATAGACTGACCACCAATATCCACTACAAACCCATCGACTCCTACAGTTACCTCGACCATACATCATCGCACCCTGCTGCCTGTAAGTACTTCATTCCATTCTCCCAGTTTCTCTGTCTCCATCTAGAATTCTTGGAATTTCATAGAATCCCTACAGTGTGGAAGCAGGCCATTCGGCCCATTGAGTACACACCAACCCTCCAAGGTGCATCCAACCCAGACCCACCCCTACCCTATCCCTGTATTTCCCACCCTAGACGCTGTGGGCAATTTAACATTGTCAATGCACCTAACCTGCACATCTTTGTACCCGAAGGAAACCCACGCAAATACGGGGAGAACATGCAAACTTCACACAGACAGTTACCCGAGGCTGGAATCAAACCCGGGTCCCTGGCACTGTGAGGCAGCAGTGCTAACCACTGAGCTATGGTGACACTACCATCTGTTCTGATGACGCCACCTTCTCACTGTCCAAGAGCTTAGATACATCTTCCAGGTAAAGCAGCAATTTACCTGAATTTCTCTCAATCTAGTCTGCTGTACTCGCTACTCACAATGTATACTTTGGGGAGACAAAACGCAGACTGGGTGACCGCTTTGCAGATCACCTCCTCTCTATCCATAAGAATGATTCTGACCTTCCCGTTGCCTGCCACATTAACGTGTCAATCTGTTCCTTGGCCAGTTTATCTATCTCAGACCTGCTGCAGTGCTCCAGTGAAGTTCATCACAATCTGTAGGAACAACATCTCGTATTTGGACAGATACCTTGTGTTACATCAGAACTGAGAAACGTATAGAAACATAGAAGGTAGGAGCAGGAGGAGGCCATTCAGCCCTTCGAGCCTGCTTCGCCATTCTTCACAATCATGGCTGATCATCCAACTCAGTAGCCTAATCCTGCTTTCCCCCCATAACCTTTCATCCCATTTGCCCCAAGTGCCATATCTAATTGCCTATTGAATATATTCAATGTTTTGGCATCAATTACTTCTTGTGGTAAGGAATTCCACAGGCTCACCACTTTTTGGGTGGAGAAATGTGTCCTCATCTCCGTTCTAAATTGTTTACCCCGAATCCTCATACTGTGGCCCCTGGTTCTGTACTCAACCAAATTTGGGAACATTCTCCCTGCATCTACCCTGTAAGAGTCATCAGATTCGAAACATAAACTCTGTTTTGCCCATTCACATGCTGCCAGACCCAAATACCTCTAATAATTTATGCCTTTGTTACAGATCTCTTTATTTTTTCCACAAATTTCAAGCTGTTTTCAGTTCTGATAAAAGGTCACAGGGCTCAACTCGTGTTAACTCTGTTTCTCTCATCACAGATACTGCCAGACTTGCTAACTTTCTCCAGCACTTTGTTTTTGATTAAGAATCTATCTACCTTTGAATTAAAATTATTTAATAGTTCTGCATCCACTGCCTTTTAACGAGGGAATTCTAAACAATCACGACCTTCTGAGGCAAAAAAAAATTTCTCATCTCTTAAATGGACAGCCCCTTTTTTTTTAAGTAATGGTCCTTAGTTCTACAAGTCTTGATTTAAGGGGAGGGAAAAACAGTGGCTTTGTTTTGCTTAGAGTAGTGGAAAGGCGGTGGTGTAGTGGTAATGTCATTAGCATAGCAATCCAGAACTTCAGGCCAATGTTCTGGTGATCTGGTTTTGAATCTCACCATGGTAGACAGTGAAATTTGAATTCAGAAAATAATAGGAATAAAGAGAGCCAGTCTAATGGCAATCAACGTTGGATTGTCATATAAACCCACTTGGTTCACTCATGTTCTGTAGGTAAGAAATCTGCCCTCTTTATCTGGTCTGGCCTACACGTGACTCCACACCCATGGCATTGTGGTTGACTTTTAACTGCCTTCTAGCCAATAAATGCTAGCCTAGCTAGTGACATCCACAAAGCATGAAAAAATGTTTCAAAAAGAAGAAGGCTGAGGGTGGAATCTGATTCATGTGTACAAAGTTCTGAGGGATTGGATAGGGAGAAACGTGTCCCTTTAGTAGAGGGGTCAATAACTGAGGACAGAGGTTTAAGGTAATGAACAGGAGGTTTGGAGGGGATTTGAGGAAAGATTATTTACATCTAGAGGATGATGGGTATCTGGGACTCACTGCCTGAAAGGTAGTAAAGACTGGAACACTTAGTGTACACTTGAAACACTATGATATATAAGTCAAGGGTCAAGTGCTGTAACAAATTGATGACCGGCTTGGGTATGATGGGCTGTAAAAACTGTATCATTCCAAGACGCTAAAAAGTAATACTTGGAAATGAACATATTCACGGTATTGAAGCTCCATTATGAATTGTAAACAACTTAATGTGTCAGTGAGTAGTCGGGGCATAGACTACACAGCCAGGAAGTGTGGTGGAGACAGCGTCAATTGAGACACTAAAGAGAGCATTGGATGATTATTTAAATAGAAATAATGTGCAAAGGTGTGGTGAAAAAGCTGGAAGATTGGCAGCCGGTAATGATGCTCATTTGAAGAGCTAGTAGAGTATTGTAGGTGCCCCTACGCTACATGAACTGCACTGGTTCAAGACTTGAGTTCACCATCAACTTCTCAAGAGCAATTAAGGATAGCCAAAAATACCCACATCTCATCATGAATAAAAAGTTAGCCTTAATAAACTACTGGATTCCTGCAACACATCTGGTTCACTAATACCCTTTAGGAAAGGAAAACTGCCATCCTAACCTGGTCTGTCTGGCATGGGATTCCAGACCCACAGCAATGTGGTTTTAATCTTAAATAAAAAGTGAAAGAACTACAGATGCTGTAAATCAGGAACAAAAACAAAGTTGCTGGAAAAGTTCCTTGCGTGCTGGAAAAGCTCAGCAGGTCTGGCAGCATC